CATAAAGATTTAGAGTTTTGGAAACTCAATGGTGGTTGCCATGAGTCAGATTGACTTGATGGCCATGGGTTGGGTATTCCCCATCCCCCCTTCTTACTCACTAAAACAGTACACCCTGGGCAGTTGGAGTGGATTATAAAGTAGAGACTTCTGTTCCCCACCTCACTACTTCCAAAACCAGGCATATTTCTCTGATGGTGTTAGTTCTCTATCTCTCTTCTCTGGGGTCATAGCCTGGTGTGTGTGTGTGTGTGGGGGTGTATGTGTATGGTGTGTGCTGGGAGTGGGGAGTTGAGCAAGTGGGTGACCTCTGAGGGCCTGCAGTCAGGCTATGTGTTTTGGGGACTGAGATGCCTTTGGGTGGCATTTCTGCTATATTTTGGATTGGTACATATGTCTATGTCTGAAGGTGTCTTCTCTGTGTATGTTCTGTGTGTTTGTCATGGTGCACGTGTGATGGGGCTGTGTTTTCTGTGTTTATTGCTCATTTGCTCCCTCTCTTGTGTGTGAACCTTTGGTGAACCCCAGCCAACTGTGCATTAACAGACACTACATATTTATTGGTGCTGATGCTGTTTTGTGCAGAAGTGTGTGTCTATGGTGTGGCTGAGTAGCTGTCAGAGGGTGCAACTCTGAGGTTGGGCATGCCTGTGTGTGCATCTATGTGGGTTTGGAGTGGGTGCATCCTGGAGAATGTGCCTGCAGGGAAGAAGGAGGACGAAGGGTTCTTGTTTGGGTGGCTGAGGACTGGTATAGAGTCTGTGAGGTTACATAGAAAGGCGGGCCCTGTGGCATGGGTGTTGGGAAACTGTTCTGGGGCAGGTAGGTGTGTAAGGGAAAGAGTTGTACTGTGTTTATGATAAAATGGCTTGGGGTGAGGGAGTGTGGATGTGTGCATAACACGTGAGATGGGTAGATTTGTGTGGATGAGTGTGTGTGTGTGTGTGTGTGTGTGTAGTCTGTCAGCCTGGCTGTGCCTGCCCGCTCCCGCCGACCCCCGCCCGGCACTGCAGAGCTCAATCAGCGGCTGCATGAATACACTCGAATGGAAAGTTGTGCTCAGCTGACCGGAGAAATCGGAGCCGGCTAGTGCTGCTCCCCTCCTCCCTGGATCCCTCCCGCCCTCCCCCGCCCGCCCTCGGGCCAGACGGCCGCCTTTGCCGGCTCACTAAGGCAGAGGAGGTTCAGCTCAGCTGGGGCCGGAAAAGGCCCGGGCAGTGGGACGTTGAGGCGGCCTGAGAGCGAGGACCCAGAGGCGCGCGTCGCAGCGGGCCGGTCGTCTCAGCTCGAGCCCTGGGAAGGGTGGAAGGGGGGAGAGGGCGGTGGGAGGGCCCGGGAAAGCCCCCGAGGCAGCAGCCTGCGCTCCAGGTGACAGCCACACAAAGGTCTAGGCAGCGATGAGACGGTCACGGAGGCAGAGGAAGACTGGGAGAGGAAGAGGAGGCTGGGCTGTCCCCAGCTCAAGGAGTCGGAGCTGGCCCAATGTGCCACAGGGCTGGAACTAAGCACTGAGCTCTGGCGATCTGGGTGATGAGCTAGCCCAGAATGTGCCAGGCTGTCCAGTTCTCGTTTCAGAAACTGGGAGCCCCACTGCTCCGCCAAAGCCCACACTAGGGTTCATGTTCCACCGCCACTGCACTCGGGGAGCCTAGGCCAGGGCCCAGCCTTGCCAGAGGGCTCACCGGAACCTGCCCGGTGCCCAAAGCCTCAGGACGCCTGGCTGACCCTCGGGCTCCAACCCAAATCCCAGCCCCTACCCGCCAATTTCACTATTGATCTGCATCTCTGGCCCTCGCCAAGGCGGCTTCCGGGTCATTTCATTTTAATCAGCTGTGCATCTCCCAGCAGACAATTCCCCAGGACTGGAAAAAGAAGGCAGGGTTAGGGGCTGGGTTGGGGTGCAGGGTCTGATCTGGAGGGTAATGGTGGAGAAAAGGAGGATGAGCAGGGAGAGATGAGCTGATCAGAAGGGGTAGATTGGCCCAGCCTCCCTCAGACCGGCAGCTTCTAGGAGCCAGGACTTAGACACAGATTTTTCCGGTTTAACCCTCCATTGTGCCTATTTAGGTTTCCAGTGCAAGTCCTGGATTGTCATTGCTTTTCTTTGAGGGACAAAGAGACAAAAAGAATATTCCCAAATGAGTTATTCCTTAAGCGTCTTACACTCTAGAGTAGGCCCAAGGACACAGAGGCCTATACACATGGGGAAAGCCAGAGAATGCTCACTGGGGCACAAGACAGAAGAGCAGTGTGGAGTGCATACAGGGGAAAGAGTACACATCTTTTGGTATACCAGGAGAAGAAGAGCCAGCTCCCTGGCTGCTGTTGCAGGACTGCAACAGAAGTAACAGAGAGTTAATACTGAGGCCTCCTTATAGGAACTGACCAGGGTACATGAGACTCAGAAAGAGCTCACATGCCCCAGGCTGGAGCCCAATCCCCAGTATTCCCAAGCGGTGGGGCCTGTGCACAGCAGCTGAGATGGCTTTTGTGCAAGCAGATGCTTCAGCTTGCCTTGCCCTCACACTCTGTTGAGGATGTCCCTAGGACTCTGACTGCAGCCCATTGGGATGGCTGCTGAATTTGGCAAAAGTGGGCTTGGCTGTGGCTTTGAGGGACCTAGAAAGAGAATCAGCAGGCAGCAGGTAAAGGCTTCTTTCCCTCCAGTGCAATCTTTAAAGGGGCAGGGGCCAAATTACCCAGAATATCCTCATTGTGTCAAGGCAAAGGGTGGACTGTGGAAGCCAGACACCCCAAACCCACCTCACCCCTCACTGTCCTCAGTTCAAAGAACACCCATGGTGACCTTCCTTCCCTAAAGGGACAGGAAAGCCAGTTAGGGGTGAGCAAACTGGAGATCATATCTGTGGCTGACTAGAACAAGAGGACCTAAACATGTCCAAACCAGAACTGTGACCCACAAGACATTTGTCCACTGCCCAGAGAGACACTGCACAGACAGCATCCTGGGGATGAAGTGGAGTCCCTCTGACATGCATCCCTTGCAGAACTATGTATGTATATACTGCTCAAGCCACACACAAATACCTACACTACAGGCAACACACACAGAAACACGTACCGGGTGCACACCAATGCAGGGAACACGCATTTATACCAAACATCACACACATAGTTCTTTGTATGCAGTCCTTGTCCACCTCATAGAGGTCCAGCATTCAAAATTGCACACACACACACATCACCCACAATGAGCACACTTGCCCCTCCTGCAGGGAATCTGTAGGTGAGATTAGAAAGTGCAGAGAGTAGAGTCTTGGTATTTGTACAAAGATGGATAGAAATATAGATGGGAGAGGCTAATAGATAATGGATAGCAGGAGACAGCAACAGGCTGGTGAAGCCTAGCAGGGTCTGGGCCTCCCAAACTGAAGGCTGCTGGAGTCTGACAGCCTGCTTTCTGCAATGGAGAATGACGAGTGGACACTGATTGCTTCAATTCACTTTCTCTGCTGGGTATGTTGAGAGAAAGAAGTGTTATCACTCTACTGGTTTGTCCCCAGACAAAAAGGCACCTGCGCCCTGGTGTCCCCAGCCTAGGCCTTTCCAGGAGTCACTCTCTAATAATAACACCCTTTTCCTTCTACTCACCAATTAGGGTTAGTTGGCTGAGTAGGGGTCCATCCAGACCCTCCACACTCCCTGATGCAGACCCTTCGTTGGGGTTGCAGGCCCATGCTCTCCATCACATACATGGCAGACCACCTAGAACTGAGGGTAGGTGATAGTCTTTCATCCCTCACATGGATTGGTACACCAGAACCCAGACAGCACCTACCCTAAATGCCTACCACCTGGCTCAATACTGCCTGAGAATGGCATCATGTTTTCCTGGGGTGGACACTCATGCAGGCCACAGAAGGACTCGGTAGGTAGTGCAATGGATGTCCTGGTTCTAAGGAAGGATGCAGGGTAGAACCTTTTCCCATCACGCAGACCTGCGCCCTGAGCAAGCAAGGCCCGACTTGTGCGCCCAGGGCACCTCCGTGTCTGGCCGCCTCTCCGCCCAGTTTGCCCGCTTGCCTAAACCCCGTGGCGCTACTGGGTATGGAGACAAAAGGAAAAGGGAAGTCAAAATTAGTTTGGGAACTGGCGCGAAATTCTAGGCACGTTTCTCCCTAATCCTCCTCTTTGGAAATTGGACTTTCAAGTGAAGGCAAGTTTTCTGAAATTACCTCTTGGGTTCCTCTTAAGGCGCAGGCCGCCCTGGCCCAGAGCGGCGGAGGCGCCACCAGCCACACCATCCCGGGAACTGTGCCCCCCCCCCGCACGGGGCGGTAAGGTCTGGGGCCGGCGGGAGCCTGGTTAGCCAGAGATGATGATGGGGGCGGGGAGGCGTGTTTTAAAGCGTAAACTAAGTCTAAAATGTCTTAGGGGTTCAAGATAGGAAGAAATTTTCAGATAGAGAGCCAAACAGCGAACCACCCAGTCACTCTGACACACACACCCTGGTAGTGCGGAAGGCGTCCGTCCGATTTCAGGCCCTAAACTCCGCGACCCACCTCCTCACCCGGCTTCCCCTGCCCTCCCCTCCCGGGCGGCGTCTACCTAAACCTCCCTGCCCCCCTCCCACCTCGGAGGTAAAACCTGGCAGCTCCGCTCGGGAGGTTCGCTGAGGTTAGGCGACGGTGTGTATTTTCCCTTTGAAAAAACAAAGCCACAACAAGCGAAAAAACGCCAAACACAGCCCTGGATACACCAGGGGCCACGGCAGGTTGCAAAGCCGCGAGGGCCGAGCGGCTGGGGCGCTGGGCCTGGCACCTCGCGGGGAGGAAACGGGCCGGCGTACTCTCGGCCTGTTCGCTCAGGAATTGGCTGCTTTGGCTCTTTTCCGCTCCCCACCTCAGCCCGCCTCGGAAAAGCTCAGCCTCGGCCTCAAAACCGGCCTGAGCCCAGGCGGCCCGAGCGGGAAGGGAAGCAGAGGCCAGGCCACCGTGTTCTGGGGCTGGGAACCGAGGGTGGACAAAAACACCAGTCTCTGGGAGTGATAAGAAAATGGAGAATACTGTATTTGCTTTAGAAAGTTTTTACATATAGATAAACACGCAGTTAGGGTAACAGTAAAAGCGCCCTATGGGGGAGTGAGAGATACCTCCAAAGCAGCTAAGAAATACTTGCAATAGCTTTTGCATAAGAATACTACGTTCTCACTCTCCGCTTTGCTAGCGACGGTGTCCCTCTTCCTAACCCGGCCCTTCGCGCCCAGCAGTGACAGCACAGTCACCGCCGGGAACACCGAGCGGGAGGGAAACGCAGGAAAGGAAAGAGACAGGTGAGTGGGGATGGGTGGAAGAAGGGAGAAGAAAGAAAGAAAGAGACAAGGAGAGGAGAAAAAGCAATTATCATATACAGGCAATTTCTACACATATATTACAAACTGGGAAAATGACGGATCATTAAGATATACATAATTCATATAAAATTTTGAAATAAAAATAAAAATCTGTTACAGTCATAACTATTCTTTTTCCACATTTATAACCAGTACCCACACAGGCAGTGACAGAAGTGGAGAGAAAAAGGTGCTTACAAGAAAATGATTGTCTGCTGAACAAAAAACAGAAGATTGCATCTTGTTGGACCAATACTTGGACTTAAAAACAGAGAGAAGAAAGAGAAAGAAAGAGAGGAAGACAGGAAAGAGGAGAGAGAGCAACAAAAGGCAGGAAACATTTGCTATTTCGCTCTCGAAGGAGTTCCTTTTCTTTTTCTTTCTTTCTTTTTTTTTTTTTTTTGTACAAATTCAAAACAGAGATGGTGATGTTGTTTTTCTCTTTTTTGTCTGTTTTGCTTTTGTCGTCTTGTCGTCGTGGTTGTGGTGGTCGGTTTTTGTATAGTCGACTCTTTTAAAATCGTTTTAAACTAGAGAGAATATTTTCCCAGATACAAATAAATCGTCATGCAGGTGGGGTGCCGGGCCCGTGGGAACCGAAAGGAGAAGCCGTGCTTGTCCTAGAAAGTATACAATTGTCACCTCTTTTATGTTTTCTGCCCGAAACATCAGCGTTTGTGACTGTCTGTTGACGTCGTGGTCCTTTGGGGTAGTCGTGGTGGCAGATAGTGGTTTGGGGTTGTTGATGGTTTGCGGTGAATCTGTTATTTTCTCTTGTTTTTCTATATTTTGGGCTGGGGTGGGAGTGTGCGTGTACTAGTGTGTGTTTCTGTGTGCGTGTATGGTTGTGTATCCTGATTTCAATTTGTTCAGGGGATGGAGGAGGAAGAGGAGGAGGGCGAGGAGGAGAAGGAGGGGAATGGGGAGGGGAGGGGGGAGGAGGGCGGCCTTGGCTATCATACATCACATTCCGAGTCGCTGGAGGTTACCGAGAGGATGGAGGTGCCGGTGTCCGCGCGCTCCGTCAGGCTGGACACGCTGGTGGTCGGGCTGGCCGCCGTGGACGGCGACTCGGCCGAGCCGTGCGTGGGGCAGCCGGGCTCGGCCAGCGAGCGCATGCCGCTCGGCCCGATGGCCTGGTGCTGGAGCCTGCAGGAGAGAGAGAGCGGCGCCCGCCCTGATGCAGCAGCCCTGACACCCTACCCAGCCGGGCCTCCACCCCGCGCCCGCGCTGCCCTGAGCCAGACCTGCCGCTGCTGGCGTTCCCCTGGCCTTCCCACCCGCGGTCCTCGCCGCCGCCCCCTATTCGGGTGTGTGAACCGATCCCCGCCTCCAGCAGCCCGACTGCCTTGAGGGCCGAAGACCCTCCTCAGCCCAGGTCTTGGCTCTCTTGGCTCCCCTCCGCAGGGCTTTCTAGAGCTTCTCAAGGTTCCCCAAGGAGAAGTAGAATCCGAGGCAGGCTGCCCAAGGGAGGCCTGGGCGTTCGCAGCCGAGGACGCCTAGCCGAGAGGAGCAAGAGTCGGGAGAGGAACTGAGTGCATCCTCCTCCTTTACCCCTGGGGCTCTTCAGACTGAGTCGGATTCCCTAGGAGTGGACGGATCCCCGCAGTGTTTCCGGCCCCTGTTACCCTACACGCACACCAGAGCTGCGGGTTGCTCACCAGCCGCGTGTCAGGGTAAACCCGCTGGCTTGGCTCTCCGGATTCCTGCGAAGGAGCGCAGGAGCCGGGAAGGAAAACGACAGGAAGTCGGGAGCAGAAAAGTGGAGGACGAGGAGGGTGAGAGAAAGAGGAGAAGGCGAAGGCAAGGAACCCAGAAGGGAAGGCAGAGCAGTCTCTGGCTGCTGCTTTTCCTGACCAGGCCGCGGTTGACTGAACCAAGTGTTTCAGGTCTTCCCGAAAGGAGGCCTGCACCTGACCCTGGGCGCTCCCCCGTCAGGTGAAAAGTGGCCTTCACAGGCAAAGTCAGAGAGTCAAGGGCTCAGGCCTGGGCCAGCAAGACCCAAACACTCTCACTCACTCCCCAATTTACACCCAGCCCTCAGCCTTGGGCAGCTGTCAGTAGCTAGAGCCCAGGACCTGTCTGAGGCCTGCTTTCTGCCTTACCTGGCTGAGCAAGGACATGAGTGTCACAGCTGAGCTTTGGCCCAAGTTCCTTCTTTCTTTCACCTTCTCTCCCCTCTGTTTCCTCCTTCCTTTCTTTCCCTCTAATTCTTTTCTCTTCCTACTTCCGTAGGCCCAGCTCCACTGCTGGTCAAGCCAGTACAACTTTGTGACTTTGTGGCCAACTTGCCAACAGTGGAGCTGATCCTGCCCCTTCCTACCTTAGCGAACCAAGGCTCCAGCAGAAGGAAGAACACCTGCCAACGTACACAGACACTAGGCCTCTCCTCCACCACTCCCAGCCCAGCTCTCCTGCTCCAGGGCTGGCAACATGCAATGCTGCAGGAAGGAGGGGCGCTGCGCCGTGGCTGCGGGCCTTTTCCCTTTGTGACAGGGACATAGTTCAATTTCCTGCCTCTCACATTCGTGGATTTCTCCCGGGTTTTTGCAGTGCTTGGAAATAAGGAGTGGTCACCAGAACCAGATGGCAAGGAGCGCTTTTCTTCCCTCCCTGTCTCCAGACTCTGGAACAGCGGGAGCTAGGGCCGGGGCTGAGGAGGCAGACGCGGGGGGCAGAGTAGAGCTGGAGGCTTCCAGGGACCGGACCGAGGGCTCTGGGTACTCGGGGTTGCACACACATACTTTCACCCAAGGAGAGGCCCCTCTCAGGCAAAGCAATCAATAAGCCCACAGCCCGCCCCTCCTCCGCGCCGGGACAAGCGGAAACTTTCTCCAACTGGCTACTTTGGGTGCTTGGCGGCCATCCCCACCTTCCCGAGCCGGCCTCTATTTCAACCCATCTCTCACCCCTGGGGTCTTGAGGCAGTAGCCAGGACTAGGGGCCCGCCAACTGACCTGTTCTTGGCCGCCGCGGCGCGGTCGCGCTGCCGCCGATTCTTAAACCAGTTGCCTACTTGTGTGGGAGTGAGGCCGGTGGCCTGCGCCAGTTCGCGTTTCTTGCTGGGGTTGGGGTAGGGGTCCTGCAGGTACCACTCCCGCAGCAGGCTCCGAGTCCGCTCCTTGAAGCAATGCGTCTTCTGCTCTCCGTCCCAGATGGTGCGCGGCAGCGGGAACTTCTTGCGCACGCGGTACTTGTCCACCGGGCCAAGCGGGCGGCCGCGCAGCTTCTCCGCCTCCTGGTAGTGCGCCTCGAGCCACATAGCCTGCAGCTTGCCGTGGGACTCCTTGGTGAACTTGTGGTTCTCCAGGATGTGGTAGAGGTCGCGGAAGTTGCCTGTGTGGAAGGCGACCACGGCGCGCGCGCGCAGGATCGACTCGTGCTTGTTGATGGCCTCGCACGCTCCGGGGGCCACAGGCAGAGACCAGAGGAAGCGGCCCAGCCGCTCGATGTCACCCGTCTCCTCCAGCGTCTCGCAGACGCTGGCCACCTGCTCCGGCGAGAAGTTGAGGGTGGGCAGCTGGAACATGGACAACTCTTCCGGGGGGGCCCTGGAGCCGCCGCCGCCGCCGCCGCCGCCTGCTCCGCCAGCACCGCCGCCTCCCGCACCGTTCCCGCCGCCGCCTCCCGCGCCGCCGCCGGCTCCCGCACTGTTACCGCCGCCGCTGCTCGCCAGAAGTAGGGAGCGGTGATGAGAATCGGTGAAGTTTGGCAACAAGAAATGGGAAGGATAGAGGTCTAGAGGGGAGCGGAATACCATGGACTGACCTGAGAGGAGAGGAGAAAATTCAGGGAGAGGAAGAGAGAGGGGAGGAAGAGGAGGAGAGGGGGGATGAGGACCAGGAGGAGGGAGAGGAGAGGGGGGAGGAGGAGAGGGAAAGGAGGGGGAAGCAGGAGGAGGGGGAGGAGGAAGGGCGTAAGGGACACCCACACCCCACACACATCCACACACACACACCCCCGCGCAGCCACATAGAGAGGGAGGAAGGAGAGCGGCCCGGTGCGCGCGCGCAGAGAGAGCCCGAGTCAGAGAGAGGGAGAGGGGGAGAGAGAGCAGAGCGAGAGCCAACCACCGCCGAGTCAAGATTCAGCGATTCCACAGCAATCGCCCTAATGACAACAGCCTCATAATATCTCCCCTAAATCCACAGTGAGTGCAGCATTGAAACATTTTGTTTCGCTTTTCTATTGGTCTGTGGCATGTCGTTGTGGCGTTGCCACGGCAACCGCTGCCAATCACTGTCAGCCCTGCCAATCAATACCGAGAACGTAAGGACGGTTTTACCATTTAGCCAGAGGGTGGGGGGAGTAGATGGGAGGAGGGTGAAAGGGGGGGGAAAAGAATTTTTATTTTTTATCTTTGCAACTCTTAATTTCGCCACTTCCCATCTCTCTCTCTCTCTCTCTCTCTCTCTCCCTCTGCTCTGTCTCTGAACCCCTCTGTTCCCTCTTCCCCAAAGAAGTTGATCCAGAAATCCGAAATGCCATGGGCACAGAGTTGTTGAATGGGATGAGCAGTTAGAGGAGAGATTTTGTTGGGAGGCGATAGGCTTCCCACTCTGCGCGCAGGCCAGTCTGCAAGGAGAGGCAGCCAGCCAGCCTAGCGGGCACGTTTTGCACATGGTGTGCACGTCGGGCTGCCTCTTTCTGCTTATGTGAGCACTAATAGTGGCGTGGAAGAAAGGACAGATGAGATCATGGGGCCCACCGCGCATCGACTCGGGTCCTGGATCCAGGATTCCGCAGGGCATCTGGCACCCAGGATGCTGGAGGCTCTGCCCGCCCTGGGTCAGCACTGTCAGCCACACTCACTCAACTCACACTGCATCTGTTCCAGCTTCTCTTTACTCTCCCCCCAGCCAAGGGGACTCAATCCCACCCATCGGGTAGTATTTAAAAATAGCAACAGTCGAAGTAATTGTATACTTTTCTCTGTCTTAAAATGCAGTCTGGGTCTTTGTTCCTTTACCCTCCTTCAGCAGCCTCTCCTAGGAGCTGAGGGAGCGGAGGAGTCGGGAAGCCTCTGGACCCAGGGGAGCCTGAGATGCCTGCTCCCCCCCAGGAATACTGGGCCTTTCCGCCAGACCTAGATAGAAGGGCACCAAACTTTGAAGGCCACCTCTGAGGAAGCAGGCAAGGCCTGAAAATTGCCTGCTTGCTTGCTTGTTCTTACTGTGTTTTTGTTTTTGTTTTGTTTTCCAAACTCGTTAATTTCACTAGGGAAGGTACCATCCCAAACCTCCAAACACACCCAGGAGAGTGTCTTCCTTCAGGGAACCGCTGGCCCCCAGGCCAGTCCTGGATATTTTATTCTTAGGTATGTTGCTTTTAAGAAGATATAATCAGCATCTTGAGCCGCTCTCGGCTTTGTGAAGCCGCTGTAGCTATGGAAGTGTGATTTACGCAGATTTGTCCGGGTCAAAGACGTCTTTCCCCTGCGCACTGTGTATATTTAGACAGGACTCGGTTTGGTGTTAAAAAGTGTATATTTTGAATGGATCCACACACAGTAGCCAACAATACCCACATTGTAGGCCCGTATACAACGTGTATTGAAACGCAGCGTCCAGACTTCAACTAATCTGCCCTCAATAAAGCTGAAATAATTATCCTAAGCTGCCTTTCCAGAAGAAAAATCATTGAGGAATTCAAAACTTTAAAAAAAAAAAAAAATCTTTTCTGCATTCCGATGCAGATCTAGGGGCAAGGCGCTGGGTCTACAACACTTAGGAGATCTCAATGAGGGAGGCTAGAGAGAGTGAGGGAGAATGTAAATGGGAACTCTAATGTAACTGGGGCTGCCAGTGTCCCAGCCTCTAAACCCCTAGCTCAAGCTCTGCTTAGGCCGTGACTCCCGCAGCGCCCGGCCTTCTGGGCCCAGACGTGCCAGCCAGCCACCCTGGAGGCTCCAGGGCGGTAGGGCGGCTTGGGAGTGGGCGAGGGGCCCTCAGCCAGCCCACCCAGCCGGAGGCAGCCGAAGTTCGCAGGTTATTAACCCGTTGAGGGGGATAGGGAGATACTCCCCAAAGGTAAAGCCCAGCCCCACTGGGGGCCCCTCCCTCCAGATTTCTTCCACCCCGCCAGGAGCCCTTTTCTGTTCAGCTCAGAAGCTCTGGGAGACGGTTCACAGCGGACCCAAAAAGAACCCAAAGGTTGGGACACAATAACAGACACTTCATCCTTTCTTCCCGATCCTTTTCTCTGGTAGGGGACGGATTATAGGCTGAGGAGTGGGAGGAGGAAGGGGCAGGAGGAGGAAGCGGGGGAGGAAGGATTGAAAAAGGGGAGGGGAGTGGGTATTGTGCCGCGTGTGGGGGGAGAATTCCTACGGGTGGGTTTCCGAATATTGTGTTCAACTTTTTGAAAGCAGCTCGTGACCCCGAAACTGCATCCCCCGGAGCCGGGGACCCAGGCGCCGGGCGGGCGGGTGAACCTGGCCAATCCCCTCTCCATCCCCGTAACCCCCGCCTCCGGGTGGGGGCGACCCTGCCTCTCCCCGCCACTGCCCAGAAGGTTGGGCAGGTGCCGCGGGCTGTGCCAAAGGCGCTGAAATCGAAAACCTTAGCCACTCGGTGAGAATTGAGGAAAGTAGGGCTGGGACTCGGCTCGGCGACACCCCTCCCCGCAGTCTTAGTACTGGAGTCTGGCAACCCGCCGCACCCCGCCTGCTCCGGTGCTAGCCACTGCTAGCGAGCGCAAAGCCGGGTGGAGGGAGGTGGCAGGGCGCGCATCTTTGTGCGCCGGAGCCTTCCGGGAGCGGCCGGCTGCAGCCCGGGACTGTCCAGCCTCTCCACACGGAGCGGAGCTCCGCGATGCTGCGCCCGGCCCACCCAGGGGCCCCGCTGCCGCCAGTGCCTCTCAGTACCTGCCCTAAGCACTATGCTTGCCGCCCGGAGCCGGTAAGTTGAGAGTCTCAAGAGCTGAGGAGGGAAAGCAGGGCGGCTTGTCCTGAGGAGCATTGACTGGCTTCTACCCGGGCTGGGAGCGCGGCCTTCGCAAATTTCGGTCTAAAGGTGCAGAAGTTGTGTGTGTGTGTGTGTACGAGAGAGAGAGAGAGAGAGAGAGAGAGAGAGAGAGAGAGAGAGAGAAAAGGAGAGAGAGTGAGAGTGAGTGAGTGAGTTTGGAGGATTGGGGCATTAGAGCTTCCTTTCTCCAAACTCCTTGGCGCTGGGTGTCGGGAGTATAGGAGCAGAGCAGCCTCGGGTTCAAGGGCCTAGACACTGTCTTCCCTGCTGCTGCCGAGGTTTGGGGCATTGCGGACGCTAGCAGGGCGCCTGCAATCCAGACCTTTCAAATCGGGGAGACTGGGGTGGAGAGGTCAGCCTGCTGGGCCTTTGAGTCGTCCCTGCCCATTGGCTGCTCAGACTCGGGGATCTGGTACATTCCGGGTTCACCTGAGGCGAACAAAATTTTCACCATCATCCCAGCTTCAATCCTGGCCCCAGGGACCAGAAGGGCAACATTCAGACCGTGCAGGGAGAAAAGGAGGCATTTGGGATGGAGAGTGCCCTTCCTTACCACGACCTACTGGACATTATTTACAAACGTCACTCCCTACCCTCAGCCCTGGGAAAGTCCCACTTCCACCAAGAGGAGTGCCTGAGAAATTCCTCCCTACCCCCCACCCCTCCAGTCTGCCTGTTTCAGAAGCCAAGGGGTTTGCAGGCCTCGGAGACAGGAGGACCCGGAGGGCCGGCAGCTGTACCCACTGGGCCTGCACCAACCGGGCCCCGCCCAGGAAAGGTTTGCCCTGGGGGACAACGCCTCTTCCGGCTCGCAGGAAGTCCAGACACGGTGGCCGCGGTCTGGGCCTCCCCGCTAGCTGCAAAGTGAGGCGCTTGGTGCCGGCAGGCAGGCGGGGAGGGAGGGCGCAGGGGAGCGCAGCACGCTGGCAAGGAGGCCACGAAGCCCTTAAAGGACCCCGATTATTTTCCTTTGAATGGAAACAACAACTACTACTATTACTCCTTCCCTGCGCCCCTGCCCCCTGCCTTAGCCTCGGGGGACGAGAGCTACCAGCAATTGTCACCAGGGACAGTAAACACAACTCAGTTGCCTCAACTTTCTCCTTGCATAAAAGTTCCCGGCGTGCCGGAAAATTTGAATATTTGATCAACCTCTTTGAGTGACCCTCATTAGCCTGGCGCCCTGCTAAGGCACCGGCATTGCAAAAAAGCTTCTGGGCCCTGCATTTGTACGCCTTGTTAGCGCTGCTTAATGAAGCCGCCCCAAAGGCTCAAAGGCGGCCTCCAGGGCCGGCGGCGCGCACCTCAAGGCACCCCGCTCTGCCTAATGAGCCCTGGCCTTCGCTGAAGGCCCCTCCGCTCCCCCCACATCCTTAAACAAGAGGAGTTTGGTTTTGTCTTGAACCACAGTACCTCCCACTGTTAGGCCCAAGCGGGTGGGCGCAAACCCGACTTAACTGGATGTGGAGACTCAGCCCCAAGAGAGGGGCAGGAGACTTAGAGGATATGAACCATATGGAGCTGCAGGGCGTCAGGTTTTACTGATTCTGGTTCTGTTCAGCCCATGGAGTACACCGTCAAGCTTTCCAGAGAGGGCTAATTAGTTCCCCAGTTCCTTAAAGATGCAACACGACTTTTGTTGAGGTAGCAAAGGCTGGGTGCACAGAGGAGGGTCAGCTTTCCCATCTTTCACTTTCTCTAAGTTTTGTCTGTCTCCACTGCCAAGGAGGCCACACCCTTCCTAGTGGGGATCTTCTCCTGACAGCCAGAGGGCTTGGATTTGAAGAGAAGACAGGCTGAGCTCCCAAATCATCATTGCCCCCATCATCCACAAATTCCAAATGCTGTCAGAAGTTATGACAGTTAGCACTGGAGAGGATAGGGTATATCCATCCCCCCCTCCCTTAGAGCACTAGTTCCTCTCTGGTTTATCTTCAGTCTTGCTTCCAGTGCCAGTGAGGAAGAAAGCATCTAGGCAGGGCCACTGTGTGCA